GAAGAGCNTGCTTGTTCGAAAATATCGCTGACATAGAAACAGACTCCGTTGATTCCACCCAGTTGTTGACAGACCATCAGCCCAATTCCGATCTGAACAAACAGAAGTCATTAGCAAAGAAAAGTTTAACTAGAAGAGAAAGAAAAGAAAACTGTCAGTACAAGCGGTGTGGAGAGAAATTATTACAATGAGTGAGCGCCAGTATCTCCTTTGAAACAAATCCAGCAATTTGGCTTTAGGGAGGGAATCAAGAGTCACAATATAATCCTGGATTTCTGCTGCTTCATGAGATATGTCAGCATCTTTTCCACGCAGTTTCTGCAGCGCAGCTTCAAAATCTTCCTGGCGTCCTGTCTTTGCCTGCATTGATGATGAAGCTGTAATTGATGTCTTCATTGTGTTTAATGCTGCTAACTTAGGTAAATACGGAAACAGAAGAGAAATTCTTACCAACCATCTTGGAGACTCGGGAATGAAAAAGAGACCAAAAAGTGTCACGGCGCAGGGAATAAGTCCTGCAATCACCACACAAATGAGCTCTCTCTGCCACTGTATTTGAAAACACAGGGTTTTCAAATTCAGCACAGTTTGTCAAAAAAAAACTTACCAATTAATGCTAATGTCCGCCAACTTACTACTACCCCGATTATGAAGGAAACAGACACTCCAGTTACGATCATTAACTATACGATAAGCGAATGAAAAGGTTAGATAGGATCCAAACAAACAAACAAAATATTGTTAACTAGCTTCAAGAATCGCGTTTCTTGCTACGTATTTACCTGATTTGCAGCAGTCAATCTTCCTCGAAGGCTTTTGGGTGCAATTTCAGCTATGAAAATAGGTACCTTAATTATCATTCATCCAATAGCACAAGGTTAATAACTTGTCAGGAACATAATACTCAAGTTATAGAGGAGGGTAATAACTCACCACATAAGAAAAGGCTCCCATTCCGTACCCTGTTAGCAGTCTCCCAATGTCCAACGACCAAGCGCCCTTCAACAGAGAAAAGATGGTGAACACGAATAAGCTCAAATGTCAGAGGAGAACATTTGCTTAGTATCTAAAAGCACAGAGAAATTCAAGTGTGAAATTATACAAACCTTGGAGAAGTAAATAGCAAGCCAACCTGCAACACAGAAAGCACAAGACACTCTCAAGGCCTGCGTACAATTTCACAGTGAAGATATCGTTAGATAGCGAATACCAATCAAAACAGAATAAGTATAGTGCTAAAAGTTCTGGACACGAATTCTGAATCATACCCCTTTTCGGCCAAGAAAATCGGTGATTGGCCCAATAGTGATAGCTCCTATCATTGCACCAAATGTCAAAATGGAGCCAAACACTGAATACTGCATACAAAGGAAAAACCAGCAAGTTAATTGAAAGAAAATTTGCGAAAGCATATACTCAAATGGCTTCGAAAACATTCTCCCGTTGTACTGTCAACTCTCTAAAATTCTAAATCATATCAGGAATTAGTTTTTAAGCTTTGTTTCTTGAATTTGAAACTTTTCACGCGCACCATGGAGGTTTGCTTGGCCAGTACTGCCTCAGATCAAAAGCAATGGCTCGGCATACAACGTAAAACCCTCAGTCATGAGAGAAACTAGCCCCTGGGACGCCATGGTGGTTGTATCCCAAGGCAGTAAAGCAATTGCCGCATGAAAAAGATATAGCACATGGAAACTGCCACCATGGCGTCACCGATGTAGGGAACAGATAGAGATTTCTACTCATAAGTTTACACATCCAACAAAACAGGTTGGACCAGTTATAGACGTTCAAATCACTTCCATACCTCTGATAATGATAAACTGAGATCTTCCCGGATTGCAGACTGAGTAGGCGAAGAATAACCGACCTGAAAGCGATACAAGAGCGTCAAATAAACTATCTAAACATTACAATTTTCCAGGTGAACCGTTAGTCCGTCTCTCTAAAATTTTAACAAAAAGCTAAACAAAAATGCAAAACAATCACTTACACAGCATCCGAACTCATAAGAGCCACAAACTGCAACAAATGTGCTGAGATAAACCATCCATAGATTCCCTCCGCTGCTTCCACCAGCTGATTCGTCTCCTTCGGCCATGAGTGGCACTCTTACTCCCTCCTGCACATCACTCTCCACATCCTCCTTAATGCCCATGCCTGCCTGGATGATTATATAAGGGGAGTTTAAGAACAAGGCCCCTGACAAAACTCCAACTCGAACCGCCTCGATGAACTTGTATAAATGGTAAAGAGAACAAGATTCAAAGAGATGGGAAGTGTGAGCAGAAACTATGAAACTATGGAAACCATGAAAATTCTCTTTCTTCTTATAGGTAGAGACATAGAGATTGCAACGTGCCAGAAGGGATGTAAACTTTTTCTACAAGTATACATATTATTTAAATAATATATATATATATAGATAATTATATATAACATATAATTATACATTTCTAAGTTCTAAAAGTTAGGCACTGCTTCATACTGACAGTGCTCTGCTGGTGTTCCAAGCAGTTACAAATTGACTTGCTCAAAGCTTTGCTACCAATTGCATATCAGACAATGCAGACAGCCAAAATCGCTGCTGCATCAGTTAATTAAAGGAATATAATAAACATGCCGTATCGAAACAAATCTTTGTCGTGTCTACGAGAACACGCAGGCTTTGGTCGAGCCAAGTTCGATAGAGCAGTGTGTTCACTTCTCTGGCTGCGTTCAAGTTTAAATCTCCTTTTTGTCGTTTAGGTTAGATTAAAATATCGCTTGAGTAGAAGAAAATGAATATGAAAACATGTTTCGGACTTGACATAAACACGGAAGAATATGAGATAAACATCAGAGAGAGAACATAAGAAGTAATTCTGGTCTGGCTGCTTGTATAGGTTCATACAATCTGTTAATTTTCTTTCTTTTTTACTTCGAAATTAATTAATTTTGCGGGCCGATTAATGGCCATTTCCGGAAGAAAAAAAAAATCCAATAAATCCCGGTGGATTTGTATTTTTTTTCTTCTTCCCTTGAGATGAATTATTTACAAGGGAATTTTAAATTTTATCTTTTTGGTAACAAAGTATACCGACGATAATATCACTCTTTTAGCACAAAATTTCATAGATCATTTAGAAATGTGCTAAAAGATATTTTAGCACTTTGAAATATATAATTATATATTATACTAATTATTTTAAAAAAAAAAAATTTATCAACTACTAGATCTTAATCAAGTTAATTTTATCGGATTCACAATTGCACCTTAGACAGAAATAGACAAAAACGTAAGGATCTTTTCAGGCTTACAGCCTTGCACCCTGAATTAAATAGGAAAGCAACTGTTTTGTACCTTTCCTATTTCTGGTTAGATTAAACCTCGTGATGGTGGTGACGGTGTTATTAATTTACGTGTTATAAACTAATAATTCAGTGGTCGAGGAGTCGAAACGTCGGGTATTGCAGCTATTTTAAGTGTGGTAGTTGGGATGTAGGGATCAGGCACCCACGTTGCAACAAGACTCCATTTGTCTGTAACCCAGAAATCAAGATAGGAACACAAAATCAAATGACTGACAGATCTGTAGATCTATTCATATTTAAAGATGTATGATCACGATGGCCAAAAAAAACCCCAGATTCCCTGTAATTAAGATAGAGAAATGATATCCGTTCTATGCACATGTTTATTTATGTCCATCGATTTTTCTTTTATTGATTCAATTCAAAGGGTACAAATAAGTAGAGGCGTGTAATGAGAGTAAGGGATGGTTTGGTATTATTGTATTTTGAAAAAAAAAGTTATTTTTACTGTGCTGTGAGAATAAGTGGCGGTAAAATAAAGTTGTAGAGTGTTTGGTAAACTTTTTTGTAAAAATGCTTTTGAAAAAAATAAAAACAGTATTATAATGTTTGGTAAACTTTTATGTAAAACAGATGTGAAAAAAAACGGGTTTTTCAAAGCTGGGTTTTGCAGCTTCTTGTTTTTGGCTTTTTTACACCCAAAACTATGAAAAAAAACTGAAGCTGAATGTTTACCAAACATACAAAAGCTCCCAGCTAGCTTTTTTTATACCAGTTTTTTTCAAAATAACTTCAGTACCAAACCAGGTCTAAATTAGCGTCTAAAAATCACTTCCCTCGAGATAAACTAGTATTTGCAGTCTTCAGTCCAATTAGTTCACTACTTCAAACTTGAAAAGAATCTCTAAACAGGAAATTTGGTCGATAGTGGAAAGGGAGATTATATTCACAGTGAGAAATTTACAGTGAGAATCGGCTTTAATCATACATATCACATTTACAGTGAGAAATTTCATCACAAAAACCACACAATCTGCACCAACAAACAAATCAGGGTGAACATACCTGTTAGTGGAATCTGTCAAAGACAAAGAGTCACTACTCCTTTCATCTTTGAGTTAATTAACTTACAAGTCACAACCCTTCTATCTGCTATGGGAGCTTTCCCCGTCTCCATTAGGGCTAGAAGGTAGGTTACCTTCGAATTTATAAGTCTGAAAACCACATGTAGTAGAGAGCTGGATTGAACCACTGCTGCTGTATCTTTCAATATCGTCAATATCTGACACAATGGGAATTGGTCTTCCTGGAATTGATGGAACCGATACACCTGTTTCCAACATTTTCACAGCCTGATCCATCGTTGGCCTAGCATGCAACTGCGGACGAGAACAAAGACGGCAATCAATACATACTCTCTAGAATTCGGTGCACCCTTCTCCGGCATATCATTTTAATGTCTTCTGCGGTCTCCTTTACACCAACTCCCACGCCCATCAGTTACAAGGAAGGCGACTATATTATCGATGCCGCCTTCTTTCCACTCAAAAGCTCAAGAAGCACAACACCAAAACTATACACATCAGTTTTATCCGTCAACTGTCCATACAACGCATACTCTGGAGCAACATAACCCATTGTTCCAGCCACCCTCGTGCTCAAATGCGTCATTCCCTCAGGTGTAAACTTCGCGAGCCCAAAATCTGCTACCTTGGCCTCGAATGTCTCATCCAAGAGTATGTTATTAGCTTTGATGTCCCTATGGATAATAGTTGGTTGAGCCCATAGCAATAACCAATCCTCGCCATCCCCAGCGCAATCCTCTGACGAATTGGCCAACTAAGCTTGATCTCAAACGACCCGAATAAATGGTCGTGGAGACTTCCATTCTTCATCAAATCACACACAATGATCCTCTGGTGACCCATCAAAGGAGTATTGGCAATACAATAACCTCTCAATGCAACGAGATTGACGTGCTTAACACTCGCAATCACCTCAACCTCGTGCGCGAAAATTGTGTCGCCAGCAGCCGAGCAGTTCTTGAACCTCTTCAATGCAACTTCAGAACCATCATCCAGAATTCCCTTGTACACATTTCCATATCCTCCTCTCCCAATTACATTGTCCCTGGAGAAATTCTTGGTTGCAGCACTAATCTCTTCGTATTTAAACTTAATTACATTAGTACTTCCACTAATCGACTCTAAAGCAGAACCTAATCCCTGTTCAATTTTATCACTAATATCTTTTTTCCTCTTCTTAGCCCTGAAGTCTTTATATTTATGCCACAAAAACCAAATGCCGGCGATCACAATCAGCAATCCGACACCGCTAGCAACCAATACAATCAAAATTACCTTCTTTTTCTTCTTACCGGATCCCTCCGCCAGGGTTCTGAGCGCGAACAAGCACTCGGCTGTGCCCATATCGGTCGGTGCGAGGAAAGCCGCCACGTAAATGGACGGGTACGCCGTGCAGGTGGAGATGTTTCCGACGGACTCGCCGGTCAAGAATGAGCTCTGCGAGGTCATTCGGGTGGTGCAGAGGGCGCAGGGTGATCCATTTCCGAGAGACTGGTTGCAGGCGGAGGCGACGTCGTTGAGCGAGGTGTTTCCGACTTGGGATTCGAATTGGGACCTGGTGGAGACGTTCGTGCATCCTTCGGAGATCCAGCTGGTCTGGAAGCCGCAGTTGGCCCGAATGTCGAAATTGGGGACGAGCTCGGAGGCTAGGGCTTGGTAGTCCGCCCAGCAGGACTCGGAGGCGTTGGGTGGGGGAAGGAAGTTGCCGGTGCGGCGGAGGTACTCGGAGTCGACGAGGCGGAGGCCCTGGACGAAGTACTGGCACCCGGTGTTGAGGTCGTAGCGGCGGCGGTTATGGGAGCCCGGGTTGAACTGGCGGAGGATGGTGAAGTTGAGGGGGCATGGAGCGGTGGAGTTTAGCTGGGAGAGAGATGGGGTAGGGGAGGAGGAGAGGAGGAGGAGGAGGAGGAGGAGGAAGAGGAAGGAGGAGGACATTAGTGTTTCATAAGGAGCTGTTTGGATGGGCATGGTGCGGCGGAGGAAACGTGCTTACTGCGGCAGTAAAGAAGTGCTTACTGTGGTTGGATAGTTTATTCCAGCCAACCAGGTTGACAGTTGATGAAAATGGCGGCAAGCTGTGAGAAGGTGGTTGGTTACTTCCGCACGCCCACAACAACCGCCTCGTGCGTGTCATTTCTGAAAGAGATATTTGTCGGTTTTGTCCCGAATTTGTATAGAGCTGCTAATTTTTTCACTAAATTTTAATTTTAACCGATTACCTTACCTAAACTTTTATAATTTGCTAATCTCCTCCTAAACTTTAACTTTAGTCAATTGCCTACCTAAAATTTTATAAATAGTCAATTTCCTTCCTAATGTTAGATTTCAAATTTTCTCATTCAATTTTCATTCTTTTTGTCACCATATGGTTATCACCAATTTTCATTCTTTTAATTGTTCACATGATCAAAACGAATGAAAAATTAGATAAAATATTTTAAAATTATGATGTCAGGTGAATAATTGGCTATTTATAAAAGTTTATGGGAGAATTAACATCTCTATACAAGTTGGGGGCATTAACAAATACCTTTATATACCTCTTTGAATGAGGATTTTTCAAAAGCGAAGATCAAGGCTGCTCTCTTCGATATGCATCCCCAGGCTCGGATGGCTTTTCGCTACTGTTCTTTCAAAAATATTAGGACATTGTTAGGAAAGACGTTTCTCTGGCTATCAAATATTTCCTCTTTTTTGGGAAGATGCTTAAGAAAATCAATTACCCTCATGTTGCCCTTATTCCAAAGCAAAGTCACCTTACTGAAGTGCGTCATTTTCGCCCTATAAGCCTATGTAATGTGCTCTGCAAAATTGCTTCCAAGGTCATGACAAACCATATGAAAGCCTTCATGCCAGAGTTAATCTCCTCAAACCAAAGTGCTTTTGTACCCGGTAGACAGATTTCTGACAATTCTATCTTTGCCACTGAGGTTGCCCACTATCTAAAGCGACGACGCCAAGGTATGAAGGGCTTTATGGCCTTAAGCTCGATATGAGTAAGGCCTACGATAGGACTGAGTGGTCCTATTTGGAAAAGGTCCTACTGAAGCTGGGCTTTTTGACAAAGTGGATGAATCTCATCATGGCATTTGTGAGTTCGGTTTCCTTTGCTTTTCTTATCAACAAGGAGCCTAAAGGGTACCTCCATCCATCCAGGGGTCTTAAGCAGGGAGACCTGTTGTCATCATATCCTTTTCTCTTATGCATGAAGGGTCTTTCCGCTCTAATTGCAAAAAAGGAAAGGGATAATCAGATTTTTGGTATTAAAGTTTATCGTAATGCCCTCATCATTCACATCTGTATTTTGTTGATGATAGCATGCTTTACTCTTTTGCGTGTAAGGCAACATGTGAGGAAATCCAGTCCACTCTTAGGGTATATGAACGAGCATCGAGGTAAATGGTCAACCTATTGAAAAGTTATGTCTGTTTCAGCAAGAACCTGAACTGAAACTCTCAGCTAAACTTAGCCCGTGTGTTGGGTGTCTCTTGGACTGAGAAACATGATAAATACTTATGGCTTCCTACACTTGTGGGCCACAAAAAGAGTGTTTGCTTCAACAATATCAAGGAACGCCTTTGGAAACGGTTGCATGGTTGGAAATGAAATCTTCTCAGTGATGTTGGTAGAGAGAATTTTGTCAAGGTAGTGGCTTAATTCATCCCCCTCTACTCAATGAGCTGCTACCTTCTCCCCAAATCCTTTTGTGATGATTTAAATCAGCTAGTGGCAAACTTTTGGTGGGGTGGTGCCGGTGATGCACGAAAAATTCATTGGTTGGCCTGGGATAAACTATGTCTTCCAATAAGTGATGGTGATTTGGGATTCAAGAACCTATATGCTTTTAACATTGGCCTCCTAGCCAAACAAGGTTGAAAGCTTATTTCTGAGTCTTCTTCTTTGGTTTTGTGCGTGCTGAAAGCTAAATATTTTCCTCATTGCTCATTCCTTGAGGCTATGATCAAGTTGGACGCTTCTTGAGATTCAATTTACATTTGGAATGACCAATGACTCCCTTTGCCTTCGAGTCTTAAAATTTTCTCCCTAAAACCTCCATCATGTAGGGTGTTTTATGTCATGGATCTCATCGATCATACTGGTGCTGGAAGGTACCACTTGTTAAGAGTATTTCATTGAATCTGATGCGATTTTGTCTCTTCCACTTAGCATTCGTTGCCCAGATGATCGGTTGATCTGGCATTATGACAAAAAAAGGTTCATTTACGGTTAAGAGTGCATACCATATTGCACGAGATTCTTTGCAACAGCGAATGGAGGCTCCCTCGACATCCTCTAATGCGAATTCCTTAGATTTGCTCTGGAAGAAACTCTAAGCAGCCAGAGTGCCTACCAAGGTTAAAATTTGTACTTGGAAAATTTCTAGAGATATTATCCCCACCAAGATGAACCTGAGAAAAAAAAGGGTTAATTATGATCTTCTTTGCTCTCTATGTGGCGCCCCTGAAGAATCTACCTCGCATGTGATGTGGGACTGTGCTTTTGCCAAATGCATGTGGTTAGTCATCCATATGAGTCTCACCCTTCGGATTTGCTGAGTCGTATAGTTCTTTAGGCTGAGCACTTTTTAGCCCTTAATTTCGATGTTTGCCTTATGGTGATGTGGGCTATTTGGGGAGCAAGGAACGAGAAGCTTTGGAATGACAAGGTTGAAAATCCTGATATTGTCCTATCTCGCTGTCTCTGTTGGTGGCAAGAATATAACCGTTATTTGCCTTGTCACCCCTCCCCTCATTCTCTTCCTACTACTTCTCATTGGTCTTACCCTCCCACTTCCATGCTCAAAATCAACATTGATGGTATGTGCAATAAGCAGTCCAAACGGGGAGGTATTGGCATGGTGATCCAGGATGATCAGGGTGTTTTTGTGGCAAGATTGACAAAAACTTTTGATCATATTGGCTTTCCTCTAGTTAGTAAGACGTTGGCTGCTAGAGAGGGTGCTTTGCTGGTGACTCAAAAGGGGTTTTCAAAATTTCATGTTAGAAAGCGATTCTCTCCAGATTGTGGCAACGCTGAATGATCCCTCCATTAATTTGTCTATCATTGGGCACATTATTGAGGATTCAAATGCGCTTCTTGCCTCAGTCACTGGAGCTGTTTCCACCTGTGTTCGTCGTCAAGCAAATGGTTGTGCCCACTGGCTAGCGCGCTATGCTCTTATTTCAAATTCCAATTGTACCTAGAATGGGATCCCCCCAAATCTGATTCTAGACCCCCTTTTGAAAGATGTTTTGTTGTAATGATCCCTTGATTTGGATGAATGAAATGCTATCACCCTTTCTCAAAAAAAAAAAAAAAAAAAAAAAAAAAAAAAAAAAAAACACTACGTGTGTGTCTCTCTTTTCCAAGGCCAAGCCCTGTCCAAGTCTTGCCCACTTTCCTACAACAAGAATGACATTGCAACATTTCGCCGGAACTTAACACATATTTGTTAGAATACTAAAACGCACGGCAATACAATTAAAAGTAGCACAAACTCTCCATTTTTCGTCAAAATGAACCCACCTTTTAACATATCAATGATTTTTTTGCATAGAAGATGTCCTTTTTCAACCTTTTCCTTTGAATTTAACACATTGTAATAAAGTTCCACATGTTAATATGCATGCACCAAAATCTACCAAAATAAAATATTATTGTCCCGTTTAAAACGTAACACTTTTTCACAATAAAATATTTAAATTCAAAGATATATAGTTAACCAATAAGTTATTTCGAACATTTTCTTACTTTTGATTGTGAAGTCGTTTCCAAGTTGAGCTTATAGCTACCACTTACCAGACTTAACTATTTTATTCTATATTTTTATATTGATATATGAATATGAACGGGTTGAATTTGTAGCACTACTTTTTACACACGTTTCTGTAAGGCCTACTCCGTAATGTACTTTAACTATCTGAACTGTCTATCTTTTAGAACATCATACATAGATCATCATTGCAAAAAATTAGATAAATTCAAAATCATTAAACATTTATTTATAGTGATAAAATGGACGAATACGGTTATACAAAGCAACCCTAAACTCTTAATCCAACAGTTATGTAGTTTTATATTTGGATGATTTTTAGTAGATATTAATGATTTTTTAGAAAATACCTAAAAGATAGACATTTGGATCGTTAAATCCATTATGAAGTAACCCCTATAAAAACTTGTCTGAAATTTTTTTTTTTTTTAAAGTGACGTCACATATCACTACTTCTCCATCTTTACGGATAGCCATTGCTTTGAGATTCACAAATCAATGAATAAAAAACTATATTTACGAGGAAATAGAATGAGACAAGAATTCCTAAAGATGGTCACCCCCAATATTAATAATACACATGTCCAGTTTCCAACACAGTTTGGCAACTCATAATGCATTTTAATTCTTAATCATATGCCGTTGATTATAATTCAACTCCTAAGTCCTAAATGCCAGCCCCCCTGTGTTTTCGTTTAATTTTCTAATCACGGTTAGCCATTAGGATACGTTGTCTGCTTCGAATTTTCTACAACTACACAACTACATGATATCACAGTGACTCAGCTGAGGGGGGAAAAATTATCTAATCAGAATATTATCATGGCTCAGTGTCTTTATGTGCACTTGATGAGTGAGACAAATAGAATGATCGGTTACCAATGAGAAATGTTTCTTTATCCGGTATATAACACTGGTGATATCCATGGTTAATCATGAAGAATGACAGCAATATGATAATGTATGATTGGTTTAAGAATCATTTGATTAGTCGTTCTCAAGTTGAGAAGAGAAGATCATGTACAAGCACAAGTATGCAAAGCGGTGATATTCATAGTTAATTACTAAAAAATAACATTAATATGATAATGTATGATTAATTTAAGATATCATCTAGTTAATTTTTTTCAAGTCGAAAAGAGAAACCGTGTACAACCTACGTACGCAAAGCAATTAAAATCCGAGTTGTGAAAATGGGCATGCCTCCAACGTAACTAACCTAGGCCGCTAGGCCCAATGGATTTAATATGTGAAAGTTTGACAAGATGTTTCAGCAGGCTTTTGGGCTCTATTGATTGCACGAAAATCTCTCTTTTCTAATAGGT